AAGAGAAAGGGTTGTCTGTTGGGTTGTCCAAAATGGAGTGCATCTGTTGACTATGATGCTAGGCCAACTTCCCCACAACCTGGTCAGCTGTCAGGACAGTGACCCATCCCTGGTACATTCAATGGGACCAAAACTGTGAGGACACGTGGTCTTCTCTCTGTATCCTAGTTGGGTTTGGCAAGGGCTGGACCCTTCCAAAGTTTTAAATTTCAACTCCTGTCTCATGAGAAAAATTCTGCCAAGTCTCATGCTGTGGAACGACTGCTTCCTATTTTGAGCTAAGGGTTTGGAGGAATGAGAGGCAGCAGGTGCTTTGACTTTCATAACCTTTTTCATGTCCTCTTTCTTGTGTTTTCCTGGTGCACACAACTGTGTATTTGTTCTTCTCTGACTTTGGCCAGTGCTTCTTTCTCCCTCTTGCCCTCCTTTTTCCTCTCTTAGCTGTATTTTGCTTTACTCTCTGGGTCACTACAGAGCCTACTTAGCATGAGAATCTTGCCTCTGGAAACGTCTCAATTCATCTGCTTTGCATACTGTCTTCTTTCCTTTGTTCTTTATGGCTGGAAAGGTCTGAGAAAGAAAAATGGGCTGGAGCATTCTTTCCTTCATCTTTTCATTCAGCTAATATTTGAAAACCTACCTTGTGTGAGGCATTGTGCCGAGTCCTGGGCTACCCATAAACCAAATATCCAAGAGTCCAGGCAGGGAAACAATTTAATTTTATTATTTATTATTTCTAAAAATATTTATTGAAACCAAAATACAGTGGTGTGTGTGGGTGAAAATCAAAACGCTTCTTACTCTCATGGACCTCATGATTTGGTAAGAAAGACACACATTACTTAGATAAGTACACAGTTGTTAAGGCTTCATGGTGCTAGGAGACTATATAAGGGGGACTTGTTCTGGTCAAGAGAGCCAGGGATGGCTTCCACGAGAGAGGAAAAGGGTCACTAAGATGTGTAGGCAGAGTAAGAATTAACTAGGCAACAGCTGCCTGGGACAAGGAATGGTAGAGGGAGAAGTCTGATCCTGAGAGGGTGCTTGGAGCACTTGAGGAAGTGAAAACTTATCGAGCAGGGGGTAATAATGCAGAATGAGGTTAGGTAGGTTGAGGTCAGATGGCACAGGAGTTAGTTGTTGTTAAGTGCTGTCGAGTTGATTTCGACCCATCGTGACCCTCTATAGGTTTTCCTATAGAGCAGCTGGTGAACTTATACTGCCAACCTTGTGGTTCAAACTGACTTTGCAGTCCAGTACATTAACCCACATCGCCACACCAGGACTCCCAGGCTGTTAATAAGGACCTTAGTTCTAGTCCTGTGAACAACAAGATGCTTTTGAAGCTCTGTAAGCAGAAGAAAAAGGGAGAATGATATAAAAAAGATTTTTTGATAAAACACTGGTCTGAATTCTATGAATAAGTGGTGGGTGAAAGTGGGAGGCATAGGGAAGGATGTGAGGTTACCAGTTAGAATCTAAAGCAGTAATTTAAATGGGGGTAAGGGTGAGGGTTAACAAGAATTTTTTTAAAACTTTTGATTTTGAATTAAGTGAAAGTTCACAATGCAGATCATCAATTTTATATTCAACAAGCTATACATTTTATTTCATCTCAATGATTGCAGTCCTATCAATGTAATTAATATTGGTGGTGGTGGTGGTGGTGATGTGCCGTGCAGTCAGTTCTTACTCATAGCGACCCTGCATAGGATTTCCAAGGCTGTCTTTACGGGAGCAGAAAGCCTCATCTTTCTCCCATGGAACCACTGGTAGTTTTGAACTGCTGACCTTGATATTAGCAGCCCGATTCGTAACCACTATGCTACCAGAGCTGCTTCAATGTAATATTACGTATCCCACTTTCTCCCTGTGTTTCTTGTTTCCATTCCTTCTCCTTTCCCAACCCATCTGAAGTTTGTCCTTGGGTTAATCCTGTCCTTTTGATCTTGAATGGTTGGCTCTTCTATGGTGTGTATATCTATCTCATTAGTATTTGTTGTTCCCCCCAAAAAATTGGCTAAAAATTGAATCATGGGGTGAGTCCATTTCTAGACCTGAAGTGTGGCCAATGACCGTACGTAGCCTCATGCTTCACCATTCTATCTGACCAGTAAATCCTGGTCTCTCTTTTTTTTTATGAATTGGAGATTTGTTCCACATTTTCTCCCACTCTATGCAGGACCTTCAATTGTTTCCCTTTCAAAGCAATTGGTAGTAGTAGCTGATACCATCTCGTTCTTTTGGCCTCAGGGTTGTAAACACTGATGTTGACGTGGTCCAGTAGTTTGTTGGACTAATTGTTTCCAAGCATTTTCAATTTCTATCACTTGTCTTTCCTCCGGACAGTGAGAGACCAGTAGTTGCACCTGAGAAGACTGCTCATAAACTTTTAAGTTCCTAGTTGCTACTCACTACAGTTGGATGAAGAACATTGTCTTTGTGGACTTGGGTTAGCAAGGATTTTAAGTTCCAAATCTACTCTCACTTCTTATTAAATGCATTTGTTTATCCCCTGGAGCCCTGGTGTGGCGCCGTAGGTTAATGTGCCAGACTGCAAAGCCATGTGAACTGCAAGGTCAGTGTTTCAAGCTCACCAGCTGCTCCTTGGAAACCCTATACAGGGTCGCTATGGGTTGGAATAGACTTGACAGCACTTAACAACAACAGTTTATCCCCTAGTGGAATCCTGGTATGGCACTGTGAGTTAATACGCCAGACTGCAAAGCCATTTGAACTGCAAGGTCAGTGGTTCAAGCTCACCAGTTGCTCCTTGGAAACCCTATAC